GAAGCTCTTCTAATTGAGTCTGTTGGAGGCTCCATGGGTGCCAGGGTCCAACCCCAGCAGGTCCAGGGGTTCCCAAAGGTGTGGACGGAGTCAGCAAAGAAGGAATGACACGGAGACAGCGTTCAGTTGATCAGCAGCCTAGCCAGGATCTCTAGCCAAGTTCTGGTCAGGATCTCCAGTGAAGTTCTGGTTAGGATCTCCAGCCAGGTTCTGTGTCCATGTTCTCTTGCTAGGTTCTCCAGATTCTCCAGCCAGGTTCTGTAGCCATGTTCCCTCACTAGGTTCTCCAGCCAGGTTCTGTCCAGATTCTCCAGCCAGGTTCAGTCACCAGGTTCTAGTCAGGTTCTTTTGCCAGTTTCTGTAGTCAGGTTCAGTCCAGGATCTTTTGCCATGTTCTCTCCAGCGAAGTTCTTCTGTCTGTAGGTTCTGTGTAGGTTCTGTGTGTAGGTTCTGTCTCCCTTGGTTCTGTCTTCTTACATCTGTATTTATACCAGTTGATTCCAATCCTATCAATCTCTATTTCAAAGGTTAGGGCGTTTCTTATCTCCATTCCAGGGAGTAAAGATTATGTAGCTTAAGCATGATTGTTCATAGTTAAAGTGATTAATTACCCGCCTGGCACTTAGTTGAGGGGTTTTATTCCCTCCCTAACTTCAGGGGAAAATCCCTACCTGGGGAAACAACCTTTCTCAGAGAGGAGACCTTGGTTAAAACACATAGTGCCAAGGTGAGCAAACATATTAAGAACAGTATGCCATATATGCCAGGTCCTTTGAAACAGCAAGGATGGACCGGCTCCCGGCAAATTCCCCCTTTTTTATTTTTTAAAAGCAGGCATTAAAAAGAAAAACCCCAAATGCTCTCTTGTATTCATTTTAAGAGTAGGATTGGCACTTTCCGCTATTACCTGAGTCCTGATCTATCATCCCAGGGAGAGCTTGCCAATCCTGCACTTTCCCAGGGTGGAAAGGCTGCAGTGGGGTTAAGGATAAGGTTCCTTGGGCCTACCTTCTCCCATGCCATTACATTTACCTTTCCTTCCTCAGAAAAGCATGGACATACTTCTTGTATAAAACGTTCTGTCTGACTGGGAGCAACCCCAATTCCTCTGCTAGCAAGCATATATGTTAAAAGATCAATACAGAGTCTTTTTTCTTTAGACTCAGTATGGCATATCTTCTTAATCTAAAGATCAATACAGAGTCTTCTTTCTTTGGACTCAGTATGGCACATCTTCTCAATCTAAGGATCAATACAGAGTCTTCTTTCTTTGGACTCAGCATGGCACATCTTCTCAATCTAAGTTCTGTACTATCCACCTTCTTACCCTACTTATCCTCTATAGGGGGGTCTGTAGCACCCTGGTGGAGTCCTATCCGTCCCGAGTGTGGGGGTTCTCAATTGAGGGGGCTTACCTAGGGGAATCCTGTTCCAGGGGTTCCCAAAAGTGTGGACGGAGTCGGCGAAGACTATCCACCCTCTTCCTACGGTGGAGTCCGATCCGTCCCAAGTGCGGGGAGCTTACCTAGGGGTCCCTGTTCGGGCGCCAGATGCCGGGGTCCAACCCCAGCAGGTCCAGGAGTTCCCAAAGGCGTAGACGGAGTCGGCGAAGAAGGAAGGACATGGAGACAGTGTTCAGTTGATCAGCAGCCTAGCCAGGATCTCCAGCCAGGATCTCCAGCCAAGTTCTGGTCTGGATCTCCAGAGAGGTTCTGCTGCTTATTGTCTTGTTACATCCGTATTTATACCAGTTGATTTTAATTCTGTCAATTTCTATTTACAAAGGTTAGGGCGTTTCTTATCTCCATTCCAGGGAGTAAAGATTATGTAGCTTAAGCATGATTGTTCATAGTTAAAGTGATTAATTACCCGCCTGGCACTTAGTTGAGGGGTTTTATTCCCTCCCTAACTTCAGGGGAAAATCCCTACCTAGGGAAACAACCTTTCTCAGAGAGGAGACCTTGGTTAAAACACATAGTGCCAAGGTGAGCAAACATATTAAGAACAGTATGCCATATATGCCAGGTCCTTTGAAACAGCAAGGATGGACCGGCTCCCGGCACATGGGGTGCCATTATCTACCATGGATACTTCCAGCACTATTCTGCCAACTTAGATGACCCTTGGACCACAGTTTGAACCAGCCGCAGAGCCCTCTATTGCTCTTTATCCTACTTAAAGCTGGCAGTCTATCAAGTCATTTGACAAATTGGTGAAATCAGTGTTCCAGGTGTGGTAGTAGTATGTCTCCAAGATCTGAAGAGGCCTACAAAGTGCTGTGAAAGGTGCAATAACTTGTCTTTTGCTTTCCAGGTAGAATCCTCTCTTTCATCTATCCCACTGTAAGCTCTTCTGGGTCTATCCCGCACAGCCTGCCACAGGTCTTGCTCCAAAGTGTCTCCACCCTGACTCATTACTCAATCTGTCCAAACCCCACACACACACACCTTTGCCTGTGCATTGCCATCTGCTCCTGTCTGTACTGCTTGCTTACATCGCTTCCTGTGTTCCCTACCTGAGTTCCCTAAATCCTATATCCAAGCCTTTTTGTCTGTTCGACCTACCTACTAGCCCCACCATGTCTTCCCCAGGGCATGTCTAGTGTGTCTTTCCCAGGGAATCCAGAGCCTATAGCCAATCTAGCTTATGGCCCACTTTGAGTTTGCTAAGCTGCTACTGGCTAATATTCGGGGAATTTTCTTCTCTGGCTTTTGCCTAGAATGCTGTTGGACTTCAACAATTCTGAGCTGATAGTCTCTCCCAAGTCCTCTGCTCCGAGGTCTAATAGTTGTGGCAGTAATATAGTCATCACAGCTAGAAAGAAGCTCTGCAGGGAGAAGCTATGCTGTATTGACTACCTTTCAAACCCAGACATCAAAAAGGGCAAAATAAATACCCAAAGAGGATTATCTCAAGCTATAAATACTTATTTGTTGTCCTATATATCTCACCCCTAAGAATCACTAATGATACAACAAATTATCATCTTCTCAAATGGTCAATTTCAAAGAACCTGAAGCTTTTCAATTTTAAGAGTCAAATTTTTATGGGTTGCGTGTGTCAACTTTTTTTCCTATTTGCAACTTTGCTTTCTTTGTGGGTTATTTTTTGCCTATTTTCAGCCTTCTTTCCTTCCTTCATTCCTTTTTCTTGCTTGAAAACTGTTTTCATTTGATGTAACCAAATCTAAATTTGTCAATAAAGCAATAAAACTTCCAAAAAAAAAAAGGTAATTATCCCTGTCTCTCCCCACATTGCATTTTATAATTATCACTAGAGAGAGAAAATACAAGGTTACCTGGTGGGTAGGTACCCAATGAGATCCCTTTGAGTGGGATATGGTTCTACCTAAATTCTTACAGGCCATTTAGTCATTTGGCTTTCTGTTTGGGCCTGGTTGGAGCCAGTCATTCTTTTCTTACGCTCTCTGGAGTTTAACCTATGGGAAAGCAGGGCCTGGGACAGAAGGAAGACTAATGGTGCCTTGAGAGCTTTCTCTGTAGGCTCATTCTCTAAAGTTCTCAGCACAAACACCCCTCCCACAGGACACGTTTCTAAAAGAATCAAGGGGGAAATTGGACAATTAATCCAAGTTGATGCATGTCTTCAACAGGAAATTACAAGCTCTGCTCCCTACCCCCTAGGGTTCTCTCCTGGGCTAGTTATACTCTTCAATTCATAGCTCTGGAACTAATCAACAGGAGTGAAAATCTGAGCTTGTAGCTTCTCTTTTTGATGCCCAAGAATGTCTAGGACCTTGGAAGCTGATATATAGGTCTCCTAAAGAGAATCTCCAGATACACCCACCAAACATTGGATTATAAATGCAGGTGTGGTCAGTATTACGAATGGAATGGGTATTTTTTTCTCAGCAATATATGAGTTTATATATGGGTATGGAAGAGGAAGGATCAAAAATATTATTTTGGCATGGAAGGGGAAAGAATGAAAAAGGGGGAAGGGAAGGGAAGGGAAGGGAAGGGAAGGGAAGGGAAGGGAAGGGAAGGGAAGGGAAGGGAAGGGAAGGGAAGAAACATGGGGTGACAGGAGAATGAAGATACAGAGGCAGAGAGTGAGATGGAAGGAAGGAGAAAATGAGAGAGAGAAAGATAAAGTGAAGGGATAGACAGGAAGAGAGAAAGAGATGAAAAGAAAGAAAAGTGACTCAAGAGATAAAGACAGAGACACAGGGAAGCAGAGTCTTTCAGAAGGAATCTCCACTTGCTGGATCCTAACATAGGAAACCAGGTCTGGACAGCCCAGGATTTAAGCATTCTGAAACTGTTCAGGTGGGTAAGCCAGGAGCTTAAGGCCAGCTGCTTACACTTTCAAACTATCTCCCTCCCTGCAGGAGGAAGAATGAATTAACATAATCCAGAGTTTCTCAGGGATCCTTTAAAAATTGACATAAATAAAAATATGTGTATACTGATGAGTCTTCTTTAAGGAATACAGTACTGTTCTTTGTAACCTTTTATTTAAAATTTTGCCTCTCATATGAAATTTAAAAATGGGTACTGAAGTCAAATCTTCTAAAAGTTGCCATGCCATGGTTGATGGTTTGGAGCACTCACCACAGAGTATCCTTGGGGCAATAACGTGGCTGAGACATCAGGTCCCAGATGCCACAGATGCACAAATTCTGTTTTGTCAGTGAACTAAGAAAAGCTGGCTCACATTAACATACCTCATTGACAATTTTTCTAATTTCCTATGTGCCAACATATAAGGAATATATGAAACACAGGTTAAGTTTCCCAGTTTCTGAGACAAAACATACATATTTTTCATATGACAGCTAAAAATCATTACTACAGAGTCCTTAATATTCTCAACCATATATATGCATAACCCATGGACACAGACAATAAATAGTGTGGTGAAGGCCTGGGGTGGGGGGCGTGGTGAGCTAGAAGGGGTCAATGGGGGACATATGTAATACTTTCAACAATAAAGATTGGTTTTAATATTCTCAACAATTCTTCATCCCCAGCAGACAGAAGAGGACCATGAGGAGGGAGAATCAAAGCAGCATGTCCCAGTTCCTCCTCCTGGGGCTCCCCATCCCACCAGGGGAGCAGGACGTGTTCTTCACCCTGTTCCTGGGCATGTACCTGACCACGGTGCTGGGCAACCTGCTCATCATCCTGCTCATCAGGCTGGACTCTCGCCTGCACACGCCCATGTACTTCTTCCTCAGCCACTTGGCCTTCACTGATGTCTGCTTTTCATCTGTCACTGTCCCTAAGATGCTCAAAGACATGCACACTAAGTATAAATCCATCCCCTATGCAGGGTGTATTTCACAGATGTATTTCTTCATATTTTTTACTGACCTGGACAGCTTCCTTATTACATCAATGGCATATGACCGATATGTTGCCATCTGTCACCCTCTTCAGTACACCATTATCATGAGGAGAGAGCTGTGTGTTTTACTAGTGGCTGTGTCCTGGATCCTGTCCTGTGCCAACTCCCTTTCCCACACCCTCCTCCTGACCCAGTTATCCTTCTGTGCTAACTCCATTCCCCATTTCTTCTGTGACCTTGGGGCCCTGCTCAAGCTGTCCTGCTCAGACATCTCTCTCAATGAGTTGGTCATGTTCACAGTAGGGGTGGTGGTCATTACCCTGCCATTTATATGTATCCTGGTATCTTATGGCTACATTGGGGCCACCATCCTGAGGGTCCCTTCAACCAAGGGGATCTGTAAAGCATTGTCCACATGTGGGTCCCACCTCTCTGTGGTGTCTCTATATTATGGGGCAATATTTGGGCAGTACCTTTTCCCAACATTAAGCAATTTCATTGACAAGGACATCATTGTGGCTCTCATGTACACGGTGGTCACACCCATGTTGAACCCCTTTATCTACAGCCTTAGGAACAGGGACATGAAGAAGGCCCTTAGGAAACTTTTCAGTAAAGTAACATTTTTCTCACAGTAATATCTGTGACTTTTATTTAAATCAGAAACTCATTTTTGTTGATCTCACATATCTGATTTTTCATTTGAGTATGTCTGAAAATTTTAAGGTCTTTGGAGACATAAGCCCTAAGATAAATGATGGCATATTGGATGTACCTGGTAAATATTTGTTGACCAGAACTTCATTATCTTATTAACAATGCTCTCCTTTATTAGTAACTTTTGATTAGCAAGTGTTAGATCAATTTTATTACTGATTTCTGGAACTTGGAGGCAGAAGAGATATAATAATATACAGTGTGGTTATCTGTTATTAGAGCAGATTTTATGGAAACTCTTATATTTTGAGACCATAATCTCAAGCTTTAACCCAAGAATCTAAAGAATTAGCTACATTATTTCTCTACACAATCTTATGTAAAATAAATAGGTTTTCTTTTCATCTTTGTGGGCCTATTGAAAGCAAAGAATCCAAACTACTTGTCACTTATATAAAAAGAAATGTATTACTCTCCACCAATGATATAAAATGTTCTAACTCTGAAGATGAAGGTCCCTTTAGGAGATCAAGACTGGCCACAGGCCCCCCTTTGCTAGTACTGTGTGGTTGATATTGACTATCCTTCATGGACATCCTGCCTTCCCAAATGAAGAAAGAAAGCAAAGCTGCCCAAGGTTTAGTGTGCACAAGAATTCCTGGAGAACTTGCTAAAACACAGGTTCCTGAAATCTACCACCACGAAGTCCAACTCAGTAGTTCTGGGATGGGGCCCCCAGATTTGCACTTATGATGCTCCCACAAGATGCTGATGCTGCAGATCTGTGAACTCTGATTTGAAGAGCCTGGTGTAAAGAATTAAATTATGGAGGTATGGGATGCAAAATTATAACACCTTACATGAACTCTGGGAGTGGGGAGAGTGAAACAAGAGAATACTTAAATTATGTTAGTAATAGAGAAATCCCTGGTTCATGATGGTATTTTCAGATTGATTCTGCCTGCAGTACATTTCTTTTCCAATCTCTAATGGCTCTTTCCTGAGATATTAGATTTTCTTTTGTCTTTCATATATAACATAGATATATCAGATACTATATATCATGCTTTGTGTCATCACAGCAGACTATATGTTCTATGCAAATGAAGCCAAAGCTTTGAAAAAAATTACAACCTATATCCATTAGTGGCTTTTTGTTTTTATGAAGCCTTGTGGGATTTCAGTTACACTTGTAATCTTGCTAATGTCACTCAAGCATATTTTGATATTTTAACTGAGAATTATTTCACACAGGATGCACAATAAAATGTACATTTGTTATAAGGCACTTGATTTTCAAGTACCTATATCCACAAAGGGACACTTGAGGTCTTGGCAAGGCACTGAACAATTTTATGCTATAGGATGTCATTTGTGTCTAAAAGTCCTCATTTGACTTGCCATGCCCCTTGACATAGTCCACAATATAGCATTTGCTGTGAGTCCCATCCATATTATTGTTATTATGGGCATCAAGTTTTCACCCCAATCTTTTCATCTCTTTTTTGTCTGCCATATGCAAAATGCAATATGTTTACCCAATTTTATACCTAAATATAGGATTTATTACTACATAATCAGCAAATAGAGTGACATTTAAGGCTATGGTGATGCCCCAAACTCTAGTCAATCCATGAACCAGGAGGTCACAGTTCGATTCCTGGTCAAGCATATGCCCGGTTGCAGACTCGATACCCAGTGTGGGGCATACAGGAGGCAGCCAATCAATGATTCTCTCTCATCATTTATGTTTCTGTCTCTCTCTCTCTCTCTCTCCCCCTCCCCCCTTCTTCTTTGAATTCAATAAAAAAAATATTTTAAAGGAAGAATGAAATCTTTCATTTGCAAAAGTATGGAAGGACCTAGAGGATATGTGCTAAGTGAAATAAGGTGGTCAGAGAAAAACAAGTATCATATGATTTCACTTATATGTAGAATCTAAAAAACAATATAACAAATAAAATAGAAACAGAGACAGAGAACAGTCTGATGCCTGAGGAGAGGGAGGTTGCAGGGCAGGGTGAAAAAGATTAAGGGATTGAGATGTACAAATTGGTAGTTACAAAATAGTCATGGGATGTAAAGCACAGCATAGGAAATATGGTCAATAATCTCTATATATAAAAGCCTAGGTGACCATTATAACCAAACAACCAGAACCGGTCAACCAGTCGCTGTGATGCTCACTGACCACCAGGGGGCAGATGCTCAACACAGGACCTGCCCCCTGGTGGTCAGTGCCCTCCCACAGGGGTAGTGTCACTCAGCCAGAAGCCGGGCTCATGGCTGGTGAATGCAGCTGCAGTGGCGGGAGCCTCTCCCGACTCCGCAGCAGTGCTATCAAGCAGTGGCACCCAGCCCCTCGGAGGATGTCCGACTGCTGGGACTCTCCCACCCCCTCGTGCATGAATCTGTGCACCATGCCTCTAGTATTGTAATAATTATGTATGGTGTCAGGTGAGTACTGGAAATATCAGGGGGAACACTTTCTAAAGTATGATTGTCTAACGGTTAGTGGTTCTCAACCTTCCTAATGCCGCGACCCTTTAATACATACAGTTCCTCATGTTGTGGTGACCCCCAACCATAAAATTATTTTCATTGCTACTTCATAACTGTAATTTTGCTACTGTTATGAATCGTAATGTAAATATCTGATATGCTATATGTGTTTTCCGATGGTCGAGACCCACAGGTTGAGAACCGCTGGATAGTGTACACCTGAAACCAATACAAAATAATGCTGAATGTAAACTGTAATTGAAAAAAAATTTTTAAGAACATCTGGCTCATAATTTGATCATAAGAATTTGAGGGGCAGAGCCCTAGGTCTCCTATTCTAAATTCAGGGTTCTGAAAGAGAAAGGGTGGAAATGTGAGACCTAATATTGGGACATTTAGATAGAGTTATTTGAATCTCATATTCCTTTAAATCCTACAGATGGGTGGAAGCATTCCACTTTCCCTTGGCAGACAAAAGCAGAGGCCCACTGCCTGATTGCCATGAAAAGGTTCTGTGATAGATTTAGCACTTGGCTACAAATTCTTTCTCTCCGATTCTGCATCCTTGAGATGTGACTTGGTATCTCCTCCAAAGAGGTAAAATTTGCAACCCTAGAATATGGATTGGCCTTACATCTTCCTTTTGCCAATAGGGTAACAGCAAATTTAACACAAGCAAGGTTTTGAAAAGTGTTTGTTTTCTTGCTGTTCTTGGAACAGTGGTGACATGTGGACATGCCTTGGCCCGCCTGTCCTATGATGAAAGGCATGTGATCCTGTATGACTCCCATTGTTTCAGTTTAAAAGCAGCCAGGCTCCAGGGGCACTGTCACCCAGTCGATGGACTGCTTTCTGCAAACACATCAGTGAGCCTCCAAAGCCACTAAGAGAATTACCCAGCTGAGCTGAATCTAAACAGATAACCCATGGAAAAGAAAACTAAGTAAATGGTGGTATTTTCTAAACACTAATTTTGGAGTTGTTCTGGAGCATTGGATAAATGAAAAAGTTCTCCCCTGAGGTGGATGATGTGCAAGGTGATGTTTGACTTCTTAAAATGCCTGCCTCCCTCCCTCATTTCTCTAGATCCATAACTTGAAACAGATTTCAGCATAGTCCCAACAGGGGACAACAGTCCTGGCTATATGAATAGTTACCTGATTCATCAAAAGGGGAGCAGATTTGGCTAAGACATCCCATTAATAACTGGCTGAATGAATACAAGTGGAGGTGGATCCTCAGGGTGCTGGACAAGGAAGTTATGGAACATAAGTCTCATAAGGCTAGATAGAGTACATTTGTTTGATGTGGGAGCCTTCTCATATGAGGAACACCTAGAACGAGTTCTTCTACACAGCTGGAATCATTGACAGGCTTGGAAATGATGGCAGCCTACAATAAATGAAATGCAGATGCTAGAACCCCTTGGCAAAGTATTGAAGAAGAGGTCAGAATCTTAGGTACATGGCCATATGAGAATGCATTTATTATAGGAGACCAGAGAATCCACCAGCTACTGTGTTCCCCAAGAAGGGACAGAAGATACTCCCTTCACTAAAGCAATAAAGAATTCAGTGATTCTGAGGACATCAGAATCACTGAAAAGTTGACTGATGATCTCTTCCCTAGGACAGACTGATAGGAAATGCTAAAATGGAGCTTGGCTCTTTGGTGTCCACAGGAATAAAATTTCCTGAGGCATCAGAGGCCCAGGAGGCAGCACTGGTATGTGACTGAAAATGGCAAAATACCAAAATGTGCAACAAGGCCAGATCTCCTATAGAGATCTGTTGTATTGGCTAATACACTGTGGTATTTCTAAGGCTGAGGTAGAGGAGAAGCCAATGAGGGTATTGCTTTAATTATATAATAAAAAAATTAAAAATAGTATGTGGCAAGCTGATGGTAGCTTTTGCAAAAAAAAAAAAAAATCATGATCCATCACCCAGTTTTAAACTTGAATCAAAGTTTAAGGGTGCAGCAAGCCATCATACAATGGAACTATAGGTGTCCCCAAGAAATGTATACACACACTTTGAATAATTATAAAGGCAGTGTTTACTAAAAGGCATTTGATTTTCAAAATTGAGCTATCAGCTGTTACAATGTGGATACATTTTTTTTTGAAACATCTTGTATTTGGGATTAGCCTCAAGCAGATCCAGAGAGCACCGGTGATAGGGATGATCAGCCCAGATCCCCATGTCCTTTACCTTGGTTTCAGTTTCCTTTCACTCAGCTCACAACACTGGCCTGTTAGAGTGGAAAACACTTCAACCTGGTTCATGGATAAAATCATGACTCAAGAGCAAAAGTGGAATGGACAGATACTGTCAAGAATGTGTACTGCAATATACAACCCCACCCAGGAGTGACTCTGAAGAATAGCAGTGAAGAGAAATCCTTCCAGAGGGCAGAACAGTATGCAATCTATCTGCTTATCTGTTTTGAATGGGAGTAGAAGCACAAAGATAAGGATATAAATAGACTCTTTGGCAGTGACAAATGCCTCACTCTGATATTATTGTTAACATAATTTAAAATAATGCATAATAGTGAAATAAATGTTATTCAGAGGTAGAAAGTATATAGCAAGTCCCAAGGATTTTTCTGGACAGAGAATTACAGCAGACAAAGAATTAAAAACTGAACTAGGTGTAAAAGGATTAAGCCAGGATTGAGTATTTAGGAACTTAGTGCTCTATGCCCTGCCCGCCCCTCCCCACCCTGCTTCCCCCCCCCCCCCCCCCCGGCCCAGTGATTTTTATCTTACTAATTCTTCTAGGGTAAACCATTCACCAGATATTTTCATACCTTATTTCATCTGTCCTTTTGCTGCCAGGAATAAAATCCCACAACAGTATTCTCAAACCTGGTTGCACTAGAGTTACCAGTTTTATCATTTTGTTTTTATGAAAGACACTAGGATCTCTTTTCTAGAGAGTTCTGAAGCCCTAGGAAATACTAATCTGCAGCCAGAATTCAAAAGCATTGACAATAGAGAGAGAGAGCCACAAAGAACAGAATTGACCAAGAGACTTTATGGAAACTGAACTGGTAAAGAAAGGCAAGACCCACCTTCAGAGAGATAACCACTGCAAACATTTCCAAAGTTGGACTGCAATGGCTCCAAGAACAAGCATGACCCTCTGTAACTAGCCTGTCCCTATGGAATCTTTCTTCATTAATTCAAATGAGCTCACACGTTAAACCTCAATAAAATGTCACCTCATGGGTAAAACTGTACCTGACACATTTTTTTTCTTCCTTTTGTGCTCCAACACTTGTTATGGAAACTATCATCATCTGATTTGATTAACAATAAATAGAACATGTCTCTACCATGTATAAACATGGACAGTATCTTACTCGTTTGAACATTTTTTCATAGTGTATAGCATAGTACCTGGCACATGGTAGGCATCAACATATACATATTAGCTTTAATATGAATAATCCTCTTAGTACAAACATTAGCATTGAGCAGCAGGATACACAAGCATGTAAGAGTGTGGACTCCAGAGTCAGACAAGAAACAAATTTCAACTTTCCCTTCCTTCTTATAGCATAGTTTCCCCATCTGTAAAATAGTTTCCCCATAGTACCATATCCAAGATGATTACAATTAAGGAACTACTAGTAAATGGCATAATACATTTAGAGAGATAAGAAAGTGGAACAAAGTAAATATTAAGCTTTATGGAGAAATCATCATGATTGGGCATATATTGTCATTAATTGCAACTATAAGTGCAACTACATAGCACATGGAGAGATGGATTCAGTATCCCCTCTGCCTGACACAGTATCTGGCAAATGAGAGAGATTAATAAATGTTGATTTGCATGTTAAAAAATTCACACTTTAATTAAGACAGTAAATAAATGAAGTTTTAATTGACCTTTACTCCCATCTAGCTGAGTTCACCATTCAAACCAAGGAAATACTGACAACACTTATCATAGTATATGTCCTTTATGAAATATGCTGACTACATACATTGTAGAATTTGGAGGGTTTAAGAGAATTATTTCTAGATCACTTTTCTCTAAAAGCTAAGTAAATGTGATAGCGGATCATAATTCTTCACAAACACTGGGTTTCTTCAGAGTGTAATGTCAAAATACGGATACAAGATTAGAGTCCCTGGGAAGACAGTTGTGAAGTCCAAAAAGCCTTCTCAGTGCAGTCTTCATGTCATTGTTCCTGAGGCTGTAAATGAAGGGGTTGAGCATGGGAGTCACCACTGTGTAAAATACAGCTGCAACCTTGTCCTTCCCCCCTGAGTGTGACGAAGGCGGGCACAGATAGACACCGATTGCTGTGCCATAGAACAAGAAGACCACAGTGAGGTGGGACCCACAAGTGGAGAAGGCCTTTTGCCTGCCAGAGGCAGATGGGACCCTGAGGATAGAGGAGATGATGTGTGCATATGACAAGATAATCAGGAAGAGAGGGCCAGTAAGTATCATGGAGGCCACAGTGAACAAGGCTACATGGTTGGTGCTGGTGTCTGAGCAAGAGAGCTGCAGCAGAGGGACTATGTCACAGTAGAAGTGATGGATGGTGTTGCCTGCACAGAAAGAAAGCCTAGCCACAAGCAGGGTGTGTAAGAGGGCAGCGAGGATGGTGAGGACCCAGCATGCCATGAGGAAAAGCACGCACACAAGAGGACTCATGAGTGTGGAGTAGTGCAGAGGCTTGCAGATGGCCACATAGCGATCATAAGCCATCACCCCCAAGAGGAAGTCGTCCAGTGCCCCGAATATCATGAAAAACTGCATCTGGGTCAAGCAACCCCCATATGATATGGTCTGACTCTGTGTCTGGATGTTCACCAGCATCTTGGGGATTGTAGTGGAAGAAAAGCAGGCATCGGCAAATGAGAGGTTGGCCAGGAAGAAGTACATGGGGGTGTGAAGGTGAGGGTCAAAGCTGATGGCCAGGATGATGAGCAGGTTCCCCAAAACAGTGACCAGGTACATGCCCAGGAAGATGTCAAACAGGAGAGGCTGCTGCGCTGGGCTCTCAGAGAGACCCAAGAGGAGGAATTCGGTGACACTGGACTGGTTAATTCTGTCCATGCCACCACTCTTTCTAGGAAGAGAAAAGAGATACAGGAAACTTGCACAAAAAGTAACACTTGTGGTCCTCAATGAGAGAGTCATATTTTATTCAGTAGATTAGACTATAAAGGTCCCTAGACCCTCCCTCCTGGATCTCCCCTAATTCTTCCCTACTCTTCAGTTTAGCTGGTAAGAGAGAGCAAGTAGGCAGAGAGATTAAAACACAAATGCAAAGTGGTAGGTATTGGCTGGGGATGTGAGTTCCAGGTTACTTCCATGCATGCTATATAAAACATGGGCATTAAGAGCTGCCATTTGCTGAACTGAAAGCACTATACTTTGCAGGATCTAACCAAATGCTCTGTGTAGTGCATGCTTTTGTTATCTGACATCACAGAGAGTTACACAAGGCTCAATGATATTCAGTCACTCTCACAAAGTCACAAAGAGAAAATACAGCATATCCCACATCCTTAAATACCCTGCATCACGGCCACCTCTGAGCTGAACCTCTTCCTCTGCAGGAGGCAGACCTAGGTGACTCGGTTCCCACTGCTCACCTCAGGATGTCTGGGACAGTGCACAGGGATGCTGACTGCGATCGTTGTGGGTCTCAGAGGGAAAACACAACCCTGCCTGCCCCTTTCTTGCAGCACTCACCATATTGCTCTGGCCCAAACAGCATGCACCCGCAAAGGAGCCCACACTGTTCCTGGGTTCTCCCTTTGGTCTCAGAGGACCATGCTTCAAGCACGCAGGGCTCTTCGTAGCCTACAGCAGGTGAGAAGGTTGAAAGGACCCGGTGAGGCTGGTTTCACTGAGCCAGCTGGAGAGCAGCAACCCTGACTGCAGTGATGGGTGTTAGACATCCTTTGTGCACCTTGTCATGGGAGTATTTCTAGGTTCAGGGCCTCTAGAGTATGATTCCCCTGGCTGATCCTCAGAGACAAACATGAAGTAATTACTCTAGCTAGCCTCATATTCTGGCTCCCTAGGCCAGGCTCACCCAGGAGCATGGGAGGAATGCAGAGCATACAGGGGAGGTTTGCATTTGATCAATTTTGTGCCCAGGGATGAGTGTGTCTTGATCTCAGGGCAGTGGTTTCTCTGGGGTATCTCCTCAGAAAGCTGGAAGCGAGGGCAGAAGGAGGTCAGGACAGGAGGTAGAACAGCAAACTTTGACTCCAAACCTGGCCAAAAGGTTTTCTGGCCCCGCTACCTTGAGGGAGAGGGTGTTGTCTGACTTCTCTGAGCCTCTGGATTTCAGGTTGTTGCTAAACGGGTCATTAGCTTAGGCTGCTGGTTCCTACCCACCAAAACAGTCCTTGAGAAACTAAGGTAAACAAAATAATCTAGGAAATATAACAGTAATATTAAAACCGAGAAACCCATGAGGGAAAGGAAGACAGTTATGAGCTGGAATAGAATGTGGGGCGGAAAGCTCGGTTGAGAATTGGTCTAGGGAAGAGGTCTATTGCTGCTCTGTGAGAGGATGTTGGGGGGGGGATTAATTCAAAGACCCTGACTCTAAGGAATATTGGGTGGGGAGATGACCCATGGTTGTCTGTGGCACAAACAATTATGAAAAGTGGCCATGATGGCTTCTTTTCCTGACTCCTCCTGAGGGGCCAGAGGACACCATGACCCTGCTGGCTTATTATAAAAGGACTAGCAGTGACTGTGGGTCCTCTTAAATGCTAAAGCTACTCTACTACCAGCCTATGTCCTGGGTCTGTAAAGCCAATAAGGTAGCAACGATGGGGGATCCGCCTAATCCTAGTGATACAGATTGGGACTGCCTGGAAGAGGAAGCGTACCACCATGAACTGGGTAGAGAAGATCCCCCCCTTAAAGTATGTCCTATAACAACTCAAAAACAACAATACATGGTAAGAAACTGAAACAGAGGTTCAAGATTTGACCTGATTGAAAATTACAAATTTATTAAAGATTTTATGCAATTAACAGATGAAAAGGTGTGCTAACTGGCCCTCCCTATATTTCCTGGTATTTGCTAAGCTCCTAAGTCTGGATCCAGTTGCATTTGGAGACAGAAGAGAGAGAGACACCAGAAAGGAAAGAATCTGGGCCTCACCTTTATAATTCTGGCTCAGAATTACCTTTAACTTCTGCCAATATGTGCCAACTGGCTTGCATATCTCGTGATCCTCAAATGAATACTGAATCCCCTCAGATTCTCAAGTAATAACAGGATCCATTAGACTTATAGAAATGGGTGTGCAATGTCCACCCACCCCAATATTCCCAGGCTCATCTCCAATCTTTTCTCTGCTCCACTGGGTATTCATGGCATGAAAAATAGCCCATGCTGCTGCTGCAGTCATTAATGCATATGCCTCCCCAAATGGGAAACTTGAGAAGAGGGCATCAATTATTGAGGAAAACTGGTAAGATACAATGGATATATCACTTTGCTGAGCACCCCAATAGACAGGAAGCACTAGCCAGTCCCGAGCAGATTATCACTAACACTTAGACCTGGCAGTTATTCATCTGGGAGCACCAGCAAATTCTAAGTCTTCCCTACTCCCTTTACTTAGTCAAGCTCTTTGGAGGGCTGCTACTTTTTAATCCTTCAGCTGAATATCCCCAATCAAGGATGGAATATAAGGGTCAGCACAATTGGCCAAACCCCAGGCAGTCATTATGGCATTGGAAGATGCCCCAGGAAATGGCTGGCCCCAATTACACATCTTCAGCAATTAGCCATTGTGATTTGGTCTGGCCAATGACAACAATTTCTCATTCAGGGTTGCCCTCTTTGGGGTAAAGAACTATGGGAAGTCCTTTCTCTCAAATATCTGAGAGAAAGGGAAGTTTGCCTACAAAAGAACAATAGTCATATTCACATCAGACTTCCTTTTTTTGTTAATTTTTTTATATTGATTTCAGATAGGAAGGGAGAGGGATAGAGAGGTAGAAACATCAATGATGAGAGAGAATCATTGATCAGCTGCCTCCTGAACGCCCCACACTGGGGATCGAACCCACAACCTGGACATGTGCCCTGACCGGGAATTGAACCATGACCTCCTGGTTCATAGGTCGACGCTCAACCACTAAGCCATGGCAACCAGGCACATCAGACTTCTTAATAGCTACACTGAATGTAAAAAGACACTGCAATTTTTTAATGCATAAGAGGGATACAACTTTGAACCCATAATTTTACATCCAGCAAGTTGCCATTCAAATGTAGAGACATATTACAAATAATCTTAAGATACATAAAGAGTCAGAAGGTTTGCCACACAAAGAGACTCGTGGAAGAAACACTTAAATGAAAAGGTAAACATTTTTAGGAAATAATATAAGGTATATGGAAATGAAAAATGGTCAAATATCTTAATAAAATTCTTGGGTTTTTTAAATACTTAAATTAAACTAAAAGGAAATGAGGGAGTATATCCATTAAATCAGAATTAAAATTCCTACAAGTCACTGTCAAAAGACAATCAACCTGCCCTGGCCAGTTTTTCTCAGTGGTTAGAGTGTCTGGTTTGATTCCCAGTCAAGAGCACATACTTCAGTTGTGGATTTGATCCCCCGCCCCAGGTGGGGCATTTACAGGAAACAACCAAACAATGTGTCTCTCTCATGTCGATGTTTCTTTCTCTCTCTCTCTCTCTGCCCGCTTCTCCCCCCTTCCACTCTGTCAGAAAATCAATGGTAAAAATATCCTCAGGTTCAGATTTTTAAAAAATAAAGGCAGCCCAGCTGGTGTGGCTCAGTAGCTGAGCGTTGACCTATGAACCAGAAGGTCATGGTTCGATTCTCAGTCAGAGCACATGCCCAGATTATGGGCTCGATCCCCAGTTTGGGGTGGGCAGGAGGCAGCCAATCAATGATTCTCTCTCATCATCAATGTTTCTATCTCTCTCTCTCCCTCTCACTTCCTTCTGAAATCAATGAAAATATGTATTTTTTAAAGAATAAAAATGATTAGACTCTTTCTATAAAGAATGTGTAGGAATGACCAATAAGCACATGAAAATGTGTTCAACATCATTAGTAATTGGGGAACTGTTCATTAAAACCACAAGATAATGCTCCATATGCTCTAGAATGACAAAAATATATATTTTTTAACTCTAAGATTTCTATTGTGAGAAAATATTTTGTTTTCTGATTTATTTACTTGAGAAAACCAAAGTCCAGAGAGGATAGCGAACCTCATAAAGTCACAGAGCAGTCATTTAGAGTTTGAGGATTGGGACTGGGCATGAACCAAGCTTTTCCCTCAATGGATACTTTAGAGACTAGTATTCCCAGATGTCTCTGAAACCTCCCTCAGAGAGCTCTGGGGATTGTGCTAGAAGCTGCATGTTTTCCTGGGATCCTAGCCAGGCTGACTGACTCAGGATCTAGGATGCCCTTCTCTCATTTCTTCTTCCTTAGAGTAGATGAGGTTTCCATATACCAGGGGTCCCTTCTGCCTTAAACATAGGGGAAGATGCTATCTTTCCATCTGATCATCAAATATGACTTCATCAGTCTTGACAAGTGAGAACTGCGAACAGAATAATCAAACATGTACTTTAACATGAAGAAATAAGCAGCTCTTCTTGGCCCAGCTCAGGACTGACAGTAAGTCATTGGCCATATATCAAGAGAAGCAGAATGGTCCACTGTAAATTGTTTCAGGAATCTTGTTTTTGGTAACAGGTGTAGTGTTGGACAGATTGCAGCAGCTCTTTGAGGTCTGTTTACTTGTTCATAAAATAAGACAGTTGTATTAGATGGCTTAATGTCCTTTAAGTTCCTCAAGGGTGGAGTGGTTAGATAGATTTGGCTATTGCCCAGATTATTAATTTAACCCTTTGGTCCCTGAAACCACAGTTTCCTAAAATTACCATATACCCCTGAGAGGGGCTTGACATGTGAATGGAGCATATCAGATCATGTTGGCTGTTTTCAAATATATAAAAGCAAGAGAATTGGTGAATACTTCTCAGCATTGGGAAGGGGCACATGAAGATACGCTCACATTAAATCTGAAT